TAATGCTTTTGAAATTCATGTTGCTGTTTGGTGGCTTTTTAATATATATATATATATATTTATATATATTATTGTAAAGATACTATACAGAGGGCTTACAGTTATATGAGTAAGGTAATGAGTACATTTTCTATCAAGCATTGTTACCCCCTCCTTTGCTTTTCCCCTATTATCCTTTCCCTTCTTACCTCCCCAACTCCTCCGCCCCAAAGTTGTAAAGTTTGTTTACAATATAGTGTCTTACATTTCATTGAAATAATTGGTCAACCTGCATCCTTATTTCTGCATTTTGTTATTTCCCTTCCCCAAGTTAGAAAATGTATATACAAGATGCAGGACACTAGAATCAAGTACAGTGAAAACAGGGGTTGTACTATGGGGGAAGAGCATACAAAAGAAACAAACAAAATCACATAGTACATTATAAGTACATTAAAAACAACAGCAAGAATGATTTTAAAAAATCTTCTGTCTAGCATGATAACTGGTGTTGGTCTAAATCCTGAGATTATTCACACTCATACTAATTCATTGGTCTGATTGCTACCTTTCAGGTATATAATAACAGCTTTTGTGAAGTGTCCTTATTTCCCTGTGAAAATAAAGGTGAACAGGCACCTCCTTCTTAGCCAGTCTTACTGCCATTTGGAGGGGTGATGCCCTATGTCCAATCACAGGACTGAGTGGGAGCAGACAGTAGAAAGAATGATACAATCTGAACTGGCCCACAAAAGGTAGAATCAGGGGCAATGTATTTTTAAAATTTCTAGATCTGTGTCTACTTAAAAACAAATTCTGGCCAGGAGCCAGTGGCTCAAGCCTATAATCCGAGCTACTCAGGTGGCTGAGATCTGAGGATTGAGGTTCAAAACCAGCCTAGGCAGGAAAGACCGTGAGGCTCCAATAAACCACCAGAAAATCAGAAGCGGAGCTGTGGCTCAAATTGTAGAGTGTTAGCTTTGAGCTGAAGAGCTGAGGCCCAGGCCCAGAGTTCAAGCTCCATGACTGACAAATAAAATACAAGCAAATTCTGTTGAAGAATAATTCAGGAAATACGGGGACCACAATAAATAGAAAGATACTTCAGGAAAATCCACAGTGAAATGAGAGCTAAGCAAGGTGGTTATAATTTATTATGTTCAGTAGCAGTGATACCACAGGAAATTGTACTCCGACATGCTTGTTAACATCATTTGCAGAGCTGCCTGCCCCCAATTCTAAGAAATGACATCCAGGCCTTTTTTTTTTTTTAATAGAATCTGAATCAGAAAAGTTCTAATGTATAGACTCACAAATCTTTGGAGTACCAGCCTGTTTTTTATCCCTCTGAGATAAGACACAAAATCATTATAATACTATTATGAATTATTATTATAAAAATATAATGCTTTATGAATTATTACTATAAAAATAATTTTTGTAAAAAAATGGCATCGTAGAGCTTTCTCAAACTGCACTGCTAACAAGGAACAAAGTAGAAACTCCAAATCAGATAGCCTCTTCTTTCATTCCTTTTACTGGGGTTTGAACTCAAGGACTCATGCTTGCTAGGCAGGTTTTATACCACTTGAGCTACACCTCCAACCCTAAATAAGCTTTGTACTAAACCTTTTTACCAAGGTTTTCAGAATTACTAATAATGGAACTTGGCTTTAGAGATGTAATCATGTGACTAGAGTAGCTTAACCAGTAAGTATTTAGTTGGCATACTAACCAAGATTGTCTGGCTGAAGAGCTCAAGTTGTATCTGTTGCCCAATTCATTGCCCATTGACTTCCTACCCATCTTGAATATTTACTCCAAATGTCTACTCTCAGTTAAAGCTCCCTGTGAGTCTACATATGGGCTCACTTACAGGTGAAGCTCACCTCTATGATCTATGAAGGGACTCTTCAAAGTGAAACTTGCTTGTTTGAAAAATCCCTTGTAGTTGACCTTTACGTTGACTTTCTCCAGTTTCAAGCACCCTTCCCCAAGCTAGACCAGATGTCAGGACCCAAATCAAAAACTTCCTTTCCTATAGTGACATTCGCTGTTGGCTTCCTAATATTTAGCAAGTTTTTATGGCTTTACCTGTAGAGGGTAAGGGAAGATAGAAAATAAGAAAACAGCATGATCCTAATGCTTTTTTATTTTAGTTTCTCTCCTTTTCCAAGGAGAAAAAAATCAGAAAACATAGAGTTGCTTTGAAAAGACAGCCAAACCAAGCATGGGGCAGGGATTTAAGGCCTCACTTCTTCTCTTGAGCCTGATGCTATGTTTACAGTTGGACTTGTGTGGTCTGCTGGTGAATTGTGGGGAGCACTTCAATGTGTTTAATTGTTCATTTGTATCATCTGTATATTGCATATATAAAAATGTGCCCAATTGTTACATCGATGATTACAACTCCAATTCATTCTCAGGAACCAGGTGGCAGAGTTGACAATATTGACATTTTAAGTGATCTTAAAATGAAAATCTGTCTATGATACCACAAATAAAATATGAGCTATAAAAATGGATCAATGAGTAAATGAATAGGAAAATCAATTAAGTAATATACAAAATCAAGTGAATGTATACTGAGATACAAAAATCTACTAACACTTAGACAACAATATGAGTTGAAAGGTTTAGTGATGCTATCAGGACTACCTTGAGGATCAGATTGAACTTGTGGAGAATAGAGACAAGTATACGTAACTAGCTAGATGCTGAACAATCAGTAGATTACAAGTAGATAAGATGATAGACAGATAATAGATAAAACTATCTCTTTATATTTTTTTTATTCTTATTTTTTATTCTTTTTTATATTTTTATTCTTTACCCACTGTCTACCTTTAAAGTAAAGCCAGATGACAGGCTTTGCACCTCAAGCAATCATCTCTCCTCTTGTTCTTCATACCATGTTAGAAGAAGCTTGTACTTTGTGATGTCTGTTAAATGAATAGACAACTCAGGCAGCAATGGCCTAGTCTGTAGAGTAGTAACAAAGTTCCTATCTTTATAGATTAGACATTATTTTCCTTTGCTTGTAAAATAAACTTTGGCCATTTGAAAGCTTTCCACCTTTTCTCTCTGTCGTGATTTATTATTGAGCAATACCTTTTGTGGCTGTATTATCAACATTTGTCTTTATTGGTATCAATTACAATGTTAGAGTTTTAGACTTGTAAGCTTTGTACTATCATTCTCTTTTCCACTATGAATCAAGTCTTATTTTTTATTTTCAAGTGAAAATCCAGTCATATTGATTTTGAATGTTTTTTAGAAAAATGTAACTGTCTTAAGGAATAAGGAAACATATTTCTTTGGATTCATGTGAGTTATTGTATCAGTGGGACTGTGTGGGGTGAACAAGACTAAACATGAGTCAGAATGCTTGAGCATAATAATTGTTTCATACAAGAAGCGTTTTCTGATTTTCCAAATCGGAAAACAGTTGTTCCTTCTTCCTCCTTCTAATCTGTTGAGACAGAGTGACAGGGGAGGAAGTAACTGTTTCCAGATCGTACACAGAATCTGTAGTATTGGAAGAGCTGACACAGAACTTCCACACAGTCAGATCTTTACCAGTGAAATTGTGCCAACGTCCCCAGCTCTATTCCTTAGTAGTGCTAAGTAATAGCAGTTACTTCAGGCATATTTGCTCACCATTACTGTCAAATAGGAAAGTCTTGCGTTATTTACTCATTTTATGGACCTTAGTTTCCCAATTTGTAAAACTAAGAGGGTGGAAGAGGGAGGAAACCACACAATGTCTATGCCAGGCTCCTTTTCAGCTCTGAGAATCTATGAAGAGTAATGATGCAATTATGTGGGAAGATTCTCAAATGACAAAATCATTTCAAGTCTTCCTATTTCCTCCTCTGCTTTATTTGCGAGGATGTTCAGAATTAAATTGCATGTCCAATTGCAGTAAATGTTTGGCCCAAGTTATTATAGCAGAGTGTCTGATGCACTCCCAATAGTGCCTTGCACCTTTATATTTTGGTTGCTCTTCTACTTAACAACCCCACTGCCCTGCAGTATGACTGGCACTAATGTGCTGTTCTGCATTTTCTTGCCATTGTTGTTTTACATGATTCTAATACTGAGCTGCAAAAAAGCAAAGTGACTTATCCAAGCTTGGACTTGGCAGAAATAGGTTTCAAATACAGATTTCTCAACCTCTAAATTCCAAATTCCTCTGTCCTTTCCTTGCCTTCCATGTGTCTCTTGTCTTTTTGTTTTAATTTATAGGTTCTAATCCCTGTGTTTCCTTTCAGTACAAACATTGCCAAATCTTGTTCTTTTTTTGGCAAATGGAGGTAATATGGAAAAAAATAAATAAAAATTCCAATTAAATTAACTTCATTAAAGTGTAGATCACACCATTTCAACTTGTCTTATAAAAGCTTAGGTCTTCTTTTCAACATCTATAGCTCTTTAAGAAATTATCTATTCTAGTATTTCTTTTGTGAGAAAGTTTGCACAATAGTGGAAAAAATACCTTTATTGAATATATATAGAATCATCTCTTGTCATGATTCCATGAAAACAAACAAAGAAAAGTCTAACAATTGTTTATGTAACATTTACATGGTTTCAAGCAGATGGAATATGGGTGAAGTTATGGAAATATATGTGAAAGTTTGCATGTGCAAATTCTATGCCATGTTATGTAAAGGCTTAAAGCATCTTCAGATTTTTAAAACTTTAGGGCCTCATGGAACCATGATTGTTGTTAATTCTAAATGAGATCATGGATTTTAACTGCTAGTATAAAGTCTGTCAGATAGGACTTTATGCATATAGCTCTTGAGAGGATTTACCATGCCCATATACTAGCTGTGGGTGGAGTTACATAAAGATCAGACTGTCAAGTCCTTCTATATGGAGCAAACACTCTATTGTTACACTCTTTGCGGCGTAAGTATAGCACTGAAGTAATGAGTAAATGTTACATGTTGAGTAAACGTACTTGTTCTTTTTACCTGCCTTCCAATTCATTTTCCTTTGGGTTGTTTGGGCAGAGGACAAGATCTGGATGTCAGTGCAGCACAACAACACAGAGTTGACTCGTGTGCAGGGCTCCAGCCCTGAGAAGCCCTATACCATGACTTTGGACTATGGTGGAAGCATGGAGCAGCTTGAGGCCCTGATTGATGGCTCTGAGCACTGTGAACAGGAGGTTGCCTACCATTGCAGAAGATCCCGCTTACTCAACACACCGGGTAAGGCTCATTTGGCATCTAATATTCCGCATATACCATCCCAGAGGGTAGCCACAGTGGAACAAATGAGTTCCTCTCTACAGAATATCAAGACTTGGGGCATCTTGTTACAAGGAGTCTGTAGTTGCAGCTGTTCACTGTGCAATAGAGAGACAGGGACAATAGAGTGCTGGTTATATGTGAATCTTGGCTTTGATATCCCAGATATAACATGCATGAGTTCTATGGCCTCTTAAGGTTTTCTTATCACCTTCAGAAGACAGTGTTGACAATGTCATCTTCAACAGTTATGAGCATGGAAAGCTTCCTGAGCAAAGTGGCACTTGAAGAGCAAGAGCACATTTGAACTAGGCATAGAAAGGAAGTGTCTTAGTAGAATGCTATCTCTAAGAAAGGGAAAAGAAGATGAGGAAGCATCAGGGGTCTCAGCACATTCATTCAAGACTTAAGAACTATGTCTGGCTGGTGAATGGATACAGAAGTGGGCACCAGGAGGTGAGAAAGCCAGCCAAATAGGAGGGACCACTCTGATCACATCATGTGTGTTACCTGAAGAATATGTTATGAGTTTTAAGCTCCAGAATAGACTCTGGGTTCTCTAAGTGAGGTCTAACTTGATCCTTATATACAAAATAAAGAGACAAGTAGTGGAAGTCAGAGAAGGATATTTAATTACTATGGTACCCACACATTGGGGGGTGGCAGGTGTTATCTCAACCCTCTTCTGGAACATTTTTGCTTTAGGTATAACTAGGACAAAGAACTGGGTGTTCTGGTGGTTTCAGGTGGTGGTCTCAGGTGGTCTGGTCCATCAGAATAGGTCAGGTGGGCCTTGGGACCAAAAGTGTCATTGATAACTGACAGATGGCCTTTAGTCCCTGTCCTGTACTTCTTGGATTTCAAGATGGCTGCAAAATGACTTTAGGACAAAATGGTGCAAAGAAAACAGATTTAAAACAATGGAAGAAGTGGGAATGCTTGTCTTTTATACTGCCTTTACTTAATTTATAGGCTCAAGTATGGAGTCAGTATTTTCAACAAAAGCAGGTCAAATACATTACAAATGGATGTTTTTAATGGAAATGACTCCTGTTAAAACTAAGGTTTCATTTTAGGAAAAAAAATAAGCTAATCCTTTTGTTCAGTTTTTCTTGATGTTATTTTTAGAATGAATGACTGTTATAATTGATCCAGTTATTAACATGTTTGCAAAGACAGTAAGAAAAGGAAAGGAAAAGAAGAGATATGTCCTAGGACTACTTAATCCTGAAAGACTTGGAAAATATCAGGAAGGGCGGGTCAAAGTTTATGCAAGCTCTGGCATTCAGTCCCAGTTGGTCCTGATTGTCAGTGCATCATGTCTTTCATAGTAATAAAAGCCTTCCAGGATCTTAAGTATCAAAGAAAGGGCGTCTTAGTCTCCTAGGATCTTAAAATCTAAGTCTTAGAGGTAAGGAATTTCAAAAGGCTGGGGAAAAATAGACAAAGAAATGTCAACAAACGTGAAATGAGAGAAGACTAACTAAATAGAACAAACTGCCTGACTGATCTAGAATCTTCAGGGAAGATATTGTTCCATTTCAATAAATTTTCCAGATAACTGTCACTTATCTTTGTAACCATCAAGAATCTTTACAAAGAATGTTTTAACTATTTGAAATGAAAAATCTTTCTCCAATGGATTACATGCTTCCTTGCCTCCTTAAACAGAATTCTGAACATAAAAATGTAACCTTTTCCTGATGACTCAGGATTACCATTGTGAAAAATCAATTATGGTATTCTCCATGGAATCAGCTCTACTTGCAGAGCTGATTAGATCGGAGGTCTCAGCTATATCCTGTTTCTCAGCATCCTCAGGCACTGTTCCCGACAAGAGGCAATGTATGTGTTTCCTCATCTTTCTCCCCTGGCTGAGTCCATGTGAGGCACTGGCAGCAATGCTTTTCCCAGAAACTACCCAACCTACTTTCCATTGCCTTGTGGGGAGTTTCCTTGGGATTTAGAGTCCAAGTATGTTCATTCGGATTTGTGTGTCCTTTAGAATCTGCATTCTGTGATGTCAGTTTTGCTATACCATTGCCTTTGTAGCAAGTATTTCTTTCGTAACTCAACTGTCTTGAATTCTCTTAGTGTTTTCAAACAAGACATGCATGCATTTGGGATTTGGGAACAACAGTTTGGCTGTGTCCTTAATACCCTTATACAAGTTGCTCAATTTTAAGAAGATGAATCCATGACCTGATAAATTTACGTGAAAGTCCTGAACTCATAAGGCCCATGATAGTTGGGACTAAGTTAAAAAAAAACAAACCTGAAAACTTAGCACTGGTTTGACACATACTAGATATCCGGTAATTTGCCATATATTTGAACTTGAGGATTCTCAACAATCATCTTTTCCCTCGTGGATTATGAACCAAACCAGATAAATGAAGAAGATAAACATTCAGTATCCACTTTCTCCAAGGAAGATATCCTGGAGATACGGAATGAATCTGTCTGGCCCTCAAATTCAATCCGAAGTGATCATTGCACAAGTAATCATTGTCTGGGAACTGCACAGGCATTTTCATAGAAGTGTAGCCCCAGCTTCAGACCCTCACTGCAGCGAGAGCAGCTACTTAGACTGCCAGGCTGTGTAATTAGGAATAGAAAGAACAATGTCCACAGTAGATGATAGGGACCTGAGAGCCAGCACCTAAGGCATGGACCAGCACTCTTATCCCATGTCTCCCTTCCTCCTCAGCACTTCACTAGCATCCCCATGGGAAAGACCAAGAAAGGAGGTGTAAAGACTAGAGACATAAAGCCCTAGTCTGTTGTATGGCTAGTGAAGATCTTCTCCCAATCCGTGGGCTTGCTATTTATCTTGCTAGCTATGTCCTTTGCCATGCAGAAGCTCTGCAGTTTCATGCAATCCCGTTTGTCCAACCTTTCTTTGATTGGTTGTGTTTCTGGGTCTTTATTCAGAAAATTTCAGCCTGTGCCAAGGAACCCTAGAATTTCTTCTATTCCTTCCTGTAATGTGTTCAGAGTATATGCTTTGACTTTAAGGTCTTTGATTCATTTGGAATTGATTCTGGTGCAGGGTGATATATAAGGATCTAACTTTAGTTTTCTACAGGTTTTAAACCAATTTTACCAGCACCATTTACAGAAGAGGTTGTCTTTCTTCCATTCTATTATATTTCTAGGTCTTCAGTTCTATTCTATTGGTCCTCAGGTTTGTTCTTGTGCCAGTACCATGATATTTTGATTACTATGGCTTTGTAGTAGAGAGCTTGAAGTGTGGTATGTATGTGTATATATACATATGCATATATGTATATAATGAAATTTTATGCTTCCTTCCAAAAGAATGACACCATCCCATTTGTTAGGAAATGGAAAGACTTGGAAAAAATCCTATTAAGTGAAGTAGCCTAATCTAAAGAAATATAGGTGGCATGGTTTCCTTCATTTGCAATAATTAGTATTTGTCTAGGATAATTTTCTCAGATGAGCAGAAAAGCTCAAAAGCTATGAACATATGACTATATAAGATGATGCTAAGTGAAGTGAACCCCAAGATAGGGACACAAGAGGTCTTTCTTTGTTGTTGTAGTTTTCAATGTACTATGTGATTTTTTTTTGTTTCCTTTGTATGTTCTTCTTCCTATGGCATATCCCATGTTGCCACTGTATTTGATTTTGGTACCCTGAATCTTGAATATACATTTATCTGATTTGGGGAGGGGAAGGGGATAACAAAACACGGAAACACGGACACAGGATGACCCATTGTAACAATGATACTCACAAGATACTATGTTGGAAATGAACTTTACAACACTGTGGGGTGGGGGGATTGGGGGAGGTGGGGAAGGGAAGGGATAGTGGGAGAACATTAAGGAGGGGGTAATAATGCTCAATAAGAAAAGTACTCATTACCTTACTCATGTAACTGTAATGCCTCTGTAGAGCATCTTTAGAATAAAATAAAATTAAAAAAATAGGAAACAAAAAAAGACTAGAGACATCCTTCTCTCATCTGCCTATGAGTCTTGAAGAATTTGTTAAGTATGTAGTTTCTCAGCTAAACCCAGGACATAGTCAGGAAAGAGATTCCAACTTAAGGGATAAGATTTTACTACCTATGTTTGTGGTATGTATATACACATATGCAATAATGAACAAAGATCTTTCTATATCAATAAATAATAATTCTGAACATCATTTTTATTCATAACCAGGCATTCCCTTACATAGACGTACTTCAATGAACAAATCTCCTCTTTGGATAGATGGATAATTGCCATTTCTCTCCTAATATAAATTCTAAGGCAAAATAATATGGTAGATCTTTGTGAATATAGGTGAGTATATCTCAGGATACATCCCTTGAATTACCATTGTAGATCAGAAAGTGTGCATTTTTCAGGGTTTGGCACATTGACTTCTGCAATGTATCAATACTGAGCCAGTTTATGCTCTCAACAACAGCATAGTGCTGAGTGGCTACTTCCCAGCAATGGATATTATCATTTTATTCCACTTTGGTAATCTGACAAATGTAAAGTGCCACCAGATGCAATTATAAATAATTGTTATGGTTAGTAATTTATTTTCAAAAAGCATAGGCTCTACCTCATAACTTATTGGCTACTACTAAGTAATAGCTGGGTTAGAAGCAAGGAAATACTGTCAGTTGTGGCTGCAGGTAGATTTAAATCAATAGGAAGAGGATGTGGAGGATACCTTCTCTCTGTAGACTCCTCTATGCCATACACAATAGACAATAAAGGGAGGAAAGCAGAAAGGCAAGGTGAGACAAGCAATTCAATATACAAATAGTCTCCAGTGACAGAGGTTTCTTGGGTCTGAGACTGTGAGGGCAGGGGTGGTACAAGCATTCTCTCAAATCCAAACAACATATCTGTACAAGTAGAGCTTTTATCCCCACGTGATATTTTGAAATGCACAAGTTAAGGAGAGAGAAGATGCTCACTAACTGTGAC